GGGGGCGACACTGAGGGTTGCGATCCGTTGCCGGACACAGAAAAAGACAAAAAAAAAAACATGCCATTTCCAACTTCTTTACCACACAAACTAGCCATTCTTTTAAAAATAGTTTTGGACTAACAAAACTGAATTCATTCTTAATCTGGTTTGTCAAGAAGGGAAAATCTGAATACTTATTCAAGGTAAATTAATTCCACACGGGCAAGAGGTATAGTCCTCTAATAGAAGAAGCGTTCAATTTATTTTAACAGTAGACACTAAAAGTATGTGTAATATACAGTTAAAGTAGGAATTTGTTACTGATAAGTCATTGTTAATATTGAGTTGGTTTTTCAGGTTTTCGGCCGTACATGTAAGATATGTACCAAATACTGGATGTAAAATTAAACCATCACTTAGACTTTAATTAATTTGTTCTAATTAAGCTACAAATATGGTTTCCTTAAACCAGAGTTGCACTGCCCTTGTCTAAAGTTCTTACTGCACTGGTTTATATATGCATGTGTGTATTTTATTGTGTATATGTGGTGGTGTTGTTTTAATTTTTAAGTATTCTAAGAGTTTACTAATATCAAGGTTAAGATTTTCATGTTGTCTTGACCCTTTTGCAAACTCGTCTTGACTCTGCTGAGTTGTCCGTTATGTGTTAGGCAAATATAATTTAAGTGGAGGGGAAGTTTATGAATATGACGCAGCCTATGTTTTGAACCTCAGAAACAGATGTGCAGTGTTCCAGTGTCACAGAGACAGTGACGGCTCTACCCATGCTCTGCTACTTTGCTTATGCCCGTAGCCTAAATGTTCCTGTTTCCATACTTCCACGTACGTTTCTGTTTTGTGGCACTGCTCATTTTAACAAATACTATTAATTCTAGTTTTCCTTTAAAAAGTAGTTGAAGTGTAATCTTTAATATCATTTCTATACCATCTATGTATAACCATGTCAGTTAACATACCAAACTGAACCCTGCTTTAGAGCTATGTACTGAACTAAAAATATAATTTTTAAAAATCAACTTTAGCAAAATCACAATACTTAGAAAGTGGCAAATACTTTCTACCTCCAGTTGCCCAAGCTTCATCTTTTTATGTTTCCTCAGCCTTGTAGCAAAGGCTAGAGAATGATCCATATTCCAGACTCTAAGTTCAGCTTCATTCTTGACT